GGTTATCCAGTCTCTGTAGCCCCTTGTCCCTTTTTCCCCTCTGATGAGCTGCAGTTTGGGCTGATGAGGGTGTGTGGATCTATGTCAGGAGCCGAACAAAGATCCAGGTGCCTTTTTTCAGAGGCCACCTGATAGCCCCTAAACAGTGAAAATCCTCAGCAAATCAGACTAGGTCAGACCTAATGCTGCTTCTATCCCTGCACCAAACAGCCAAGCCTTGGCTGGGGGGCCATGAAGCGACTGCATTTCGGTAGGGAGGGCAAGGGTGACAGGACCGGGCAGGTGGGTGCCCTGCTGCCAGACTGGCTCCTGCTGGGATGCTGGCCAGGGGAGCGGCATGCAGGGTGGGGTGCTGCCTGCGCCCCGCACTGGGAGGAGAGGGTGTGCTGGGCTCCCACACAAAGAGCCGCAGGCCCAGCAACCGGACGCCTGCCGTCCTCCCTCTAGCGGTTAGCAGGCCCTTCAGAAAACAGCCTGTCCAGCTCTCAGCCACCATCCCCGCTGCTGCTGCATCTGCCCCAAGACATCTCCCCACCCTTCCCTTTCCACCTGCCTTTTGTTTTCACCTGCTCTATGGGGAGTCCCAGAGGCTCTGAGCCCTTTCTGTTGCTCTTTTTTTTTCCTTTTTTTTTTTTTTTTTTTTTTACTTGGCATGCTTTTCCTTGTGATCCATGCAGCCACTGGCTTTCCTTGTAGGGGCTTTCTTGTTGCTCATTGTGAGTGATGTGGATCCAGTGCAGCCCCCATCTGATCTGACCAGGGCACTGCGCTGCTGCTCTGGTGTGCTGGCTCCTTGCAGGGAACTTGTGCCTGGAGTTAGCCCCGCTACCAGCTCTTGTGCACAAAGGTTGGGCAGTCTAAGAGACCTTTATGCACAGCTGATGATCCCTTTTTCTATCTCTGCTGAGACTCTTCTTGTCCATGGGTGGTTTGGGGGCTAGGGGGGGAGCACTTGCTTTGCTGCTTCTGCCAGACAGGCTGGGATGAGGCTATTTTAGGAACGTGGTACTAATTTTAGCTAGAGGGAAAGACGAGGACTTGGATCCAAGTGAATATTTCCTGACAGTACAAGAGGCAGGAAAAGTGCAGGGTGGCTATCAAACCCTTCCCTGGAGGAAATCCCAGCCCCAGGAGTGTTAGAAGAAGGCAGCATCAGTCCCCCCTGCTTGGGAACACCCCCTCTCCTCTTCTCCTCCCTGCTGCTTGACAGCTGCCTGTGGCTTGTTCCCTCTGTCCAGATCTATTTGCCTGGTCTTACCTTGAGATCTTCAAGCATAGAGCGTTATACGACACTTCCCTAGGCTGCGCTGGCCATTTCCAGCATCTTTTCTTCCCTGTGCTCCTGGGCAGTGGCTGCCAGAGCAGGGTTGTGGCCCTCGGGGAGTGGGATGTGTCCTGGGAAGATGCTGGGAGCAGAGCTGGCCATGTGCCTGGGGCTTGCTGGAGGAAGGGAAGCTGGGTAGAGTGTGAGACAAGAGCTGGTTAGACAGTTGCAAAAGCAGGAGCCGTTGGGCTTGTCCTGGGGCTGGTGGGACGGGCTCTGCAGCTTTTGGCACCCCAGGGTGCTCTCTGCCCTGTCTGCTGCCTTGGCTTCAGCTTTTTCAGGGCTGCTCTGCCTTCCTTGCCCTGGCTGCATCCCTGTCTCTGTTCCCAGTGTCTCCCTGGCAGCAGACCTCTCTTCCCCCCTGCCCTAATGATGGTCTGTGAGGTGCATCCCCTGCTTTAGCATGGTTACCCAGTTCTCAAAGGTGGGCAGGGCACAACTCTGTTTTCATCAGTGATGCTGGGAAGCGCTCAGGACCTGTGTAAATGGGCTGTGCCTCCAGCACCTGGGTTGGCATCTGCTCCTGCTTCCGTGCAGATGTGGTCCCCTCACCAGCAAGCAGCAGAGCTGCTTCTGCATTTACACTGGGTGTTATGGTTTGGGCAGCAGCTATCAGCTGCTTCCTAGCCCATGTTTCGTGATCCTTCTGTCCTGACCCACAGTGGGGCATCCCTCACGTCTGTTAGATCAAACCTCTCGTGATGGCTGATGGCTTGGCAGTTGGTTCAAATAACCAGGCTGAGGCCTGACCCCTGTCCTGGTCTCCTCAGGTCCCTGGGCTGGCTCCAGGCTGACCCACAGCTTGTTTTGTCTGGGGCAGATCAAGGCCCTGCGGTCCCTCCCTGACACTGGGAGAGAGCCAGCCCCCCTGCTTGCCGATGCCGTGGAGGGGACAGGCGTGAGTCAGATGTGAAAAGCACATTGAAAGGTCCTTAAAGATGAAAATCAATCTTCCCTTGCTCGTGAGCTTTAGCCTGTCCCTGGATGCTCACTCCCTGGCCAAGGGGGGGCTCTTTCCTGGGCCCTTGTCACCTCTGCTCTGGGGGTCCCTGAATGTCTCTTGAAGGAAAAGGCTTTTTGTTGCTTTTCTGCCCGGCCCTATTGGCATTGGCCCTGCTCAGTGCAGCTTGAAGGTGGGGAGAGTGCAAACCTGGATGGGGAGTGACACTGGGGAAACCACTTTCCATTGAGCTAATTTGAGCTGTCTTCTATTTCATCCCACTGGTGAGCCTTTTCCTCCTGGGAGAGGGTCCACCTCATTCCCTGAGCCCTGAAATGGGTGATTTATCTTAGAGCCAGAGGCACAGATGTAGGTGTGCCTGGGCTGCCCCAAGCATGGCTGGTGTAAAGACTTCCTGGGGTTTGACCCTTTCTTGAATTTCTGGGCTGGGGAAACCGTTGAGCCTCCCAGAGGTTGGCTGGAGGTTGCGCCCAAGCTAATTAGCTGGGCACAACGTGAAAGTTTGCAAAGTACATGTGGAAGCCAGAAAAAGAGCAACATTGGAGTCTGTTTCAAAGCCACCCTCAGCCCTGAGCTCTGTCACCTCCAGCTCCTGTGGGCTGGGAGGGTGAAAGTCCTGCTGGGTCCCACAGCTTGAAGGCAGAGATGTAGAGGCTGGTAAAATCGAGAAAAGGAGTGACTGGTAGCTGCCTCTTCTGATGTAAGAACAACTAGGGGAATCCACTCCTTGCTACAGGACACATGCTAAAGGTTACCCGAGTGTAAAAATCACACAGTGTGGGTGTGCAGATGATGTCAGAGCCTCCAAGCAGGGCTGTCAGCCACCCCGACTTCACCGCTGGGTCAGGAATTACTGAGCCACAAATAGCCGGCGTCTGGGAAGGTGTTGAGGGGGAATGTTGCTACATGCTTGGCCTGTTCCATACCCGCTCCTGGGCATCTGCTGTTGTCCGCCATCAGAGATGAGATCCTGGGCCAGGCAGGCTTTTGGCCAGCTCGTTTGGCCACTCTTGTAAATGTTTCACTGGTGCCTCAACCATTTAATTCTGTCTCTCGTCCCTCCAGCTGGTGTCTGCAGAGGGTTCCCATTCAGATGCTGGCTCAGTCTGTGCCGATAACCAAACAGAGCTGCCACCCTCCATGGAGCGCACAGGAGGAATTGGAGACTCCAGGCCTCCCTCTTTCCAGTAAGTTACCTGGATGCCTATCCTGGTTTCTGAGGGACCCTCAGTGATTTCCCTGTAAATCCAGACCAGGGGCTGGGACACTCCTACCCAAATTGTCAGGGTATCACAGCCAGCTAGAAGGGAGGAGGATGGGGCTGGGAGAAGATTTGAAGTGGAGCTGCATTATTCAACAAGCAAGGGCATGCTGAAAATAGTGCAGGGAAGTTGGCAAAGAGCTGGCACAGCTTCTCCCAGTCCTTTGCCCTGCACCCATAGATATGCTGTGGTTGTTATCTGCTGCCTCTGCTCCTGTCCCTCAAGGAGGAGACAGCTGATGGCTGGAGGCTTGTGCTGGCTAGCACAGAGGTAGAGGCAGCCTGCTTAAGCTGTTCCCTCTTGGACATATTTTTCTTTTTATCTTATCGCAGCCCTAACACTGGAGGGAGTCGGGAAAACTTGGATAATGAGACAGAGACAGACTCAGTGGTGTCGTCACAAAGGGAACGACCTCGTCGGAAAGATGGCCCTGAGCACGGTGAGTGTTGGTAACATGGCAAGAGCTCTGCAGGGCATGGCTGGGGCACAGAAGGGGCACCAGCTTCAGACATGGGGCAGCTCCGTCTGTTCTGCAGAATCATCCCAGCTTAGAAGGGCTGTTCAGTGATCTGAGGCCATAGCCTCATGTAGGAGGCAGGAGCAACATCCATGTTGCACCAGAGCTTGGTGTTGAAACCTTTGGGGGCAAAGGAGATGTCTCCTGTAGAAGCCTCAAAAGCAGGAGACAACAGTGCCTCAGTCCTCCTGAGTTGAAAAGCGGAGTGTGCTGTAGCTTTGCCGCTCTGTGCTGCTCCTTGCTCTGCCAAGGAACTAGCTGCAAGTCTTCCACGACTTTAGCAGCATTGCTGCTAGTGCCCCATCACCCTCTTCCCCATCCTGTAGTGACAGAAGAGGTATCCCACAGAAGATGGATCTGATCCCAGGGTGGACTCAGATCTGGCTGGCACTTGATAGGATTGTCTGATGGCCAGATTCATTCGGAGAAGGTTGCTGTGAGCTCTGTATGGGGGAAGGGGTTGTTTCCCTGTGGCCTGTCTCAAGCACGAGTCTTATCTTTTCATAGCACCCAGGGTGAATGGGACAGTGAAGGGAGAGCGGCGCCGAGACCTGGGCGGGTACGAGAGCTCCTCCACGCTCATGAGCAGTGAGCTGGAGACCACCAGCTTCTTCGATTCGGATGAAGATGACTCTACCAGCAGGTAGGAGAGCTTAGGTCCTGGAGGAACGCTAGCTTCCCCCTGCCTCCCAGCCCAGAGAGGAGCCTTCGCAGGACACAGTAATCCTGGGTTCCAGGGTCCCTGCTCAGACCTCAAGTTTCACCCAGCAGCCCGCTCTGCTGTTGTCTGTCTCCCACGTGCATGTTCTGTCCCTCTGCCCCTGCAATCCTGTGTTCCCTGTGCTGTTTCTGTGGCTGTCTTGCTGCCAGAGCCGCTACCCTGGCAGTAGCAGAAGAGCTGACTCTCGCTTTTGCCTCTAGGTTTAGCAGTTCGACAGAGCAAAGCAGTGCTTCCCGTCTAATGAGGAGGCACAAGCGACGCCGGCGGAAACAGAAGGCTCCACGCATTGAGCGGGTACCCAGGGGCCGGGTATCCTGGGGAGGGCAATGCAGAGCAGAGTGGGCTGCCTGGAGGATCTCTCCACTTAGTGCTCCAGGGCTGATCAGGGATTTGGCTGTGTTTGCTGTGGGCATAGCAAGAGATGGGTGGTATCCAAGTGCTGAGACTTCATAAAGTGCTGTAAACCCTTCCCAAGCCAATGTAGCCTCAAGAACTGGGACCACAGGCCTTGTCCTGGCTGTTGAGATGTCATAAGGACTGTGGCTGATGTCCTCTGGCTCTGTAAAGCTCCCAGAATAAGGCTGGAGTTGTGGGTGGTGGCTGTGGTGCCACAGGGAGTGGCAGGGAGCACAGATGGAGGGAGCTGGGGCTAGGAATGTTACTGAGGCACAGGAGGACATCTCATGTTTCACTTATGTTACAGTCGTCATCCTTCAGCAGCATCACAGACTCCACCATGTCCCTGAACATCATCACGGTCACACTGAACATGGGTGAGTGGGGGGTGTGCATGGGGCCTGCAGTCCTTCCAGAGCGAGATTGGGTGGCAGAGACGGGACTGGGGAGGCGGCAAAGGGAACGTGTACGGGGAGGGGGGAGGAGATGGATTCTGTAGGAAAGTGGCTTGTCTTGAAGCACTGGTCTCTCAAGACTTTTTCTCTGCATCCCAGGACATCCCTCTGGGATAAGGGTGCAAGTGACCATCATTAGCACGTGGTTTGTCTGAGGTTAGGGCTGCTTATGCCTGCTGCTTTACAATGTCTTACTTTTTTCTCTTTCCATCCCTGCAGAGAAATACAACTTCCTGGGCATTTCCATTGTGGGACAGAGCAATGAGCGTGGGGATGGAGGCATTTATATTGGCTCTATCATGAAGGGTGGCGCTGTGGCAGCTGATGGCAGGATTGAGCCAGGAGACATGCTCTTGCAGGTACTTCACACCCACATACCTCCATCTTTGGGCCTTGGAGAGCAGTAAGAAAAGACCCAGAAGCCTCCCTGCGCACTTTGGCAGGCTAAACCCAGGAAGCTGTGCTTGGAAGAGGGAGCTGAGTCACTGCTGAGCTGAGTGGGGAGCTCAGCTGCTGGTCACATCTCTGGGACTCACCTCTTTGCGTTATTTGCAGGTAAATGACATCAACTTTGAGAACATGAGCAACGATGATGCTGTGCGGGTGCTGAGGGAGATTGTGCACAAGCCGGGGTAAGTACTCAGGTTGTTCCTTACCTCTGTGGGCAGCTGTACGGTGTGTGCTTGGGGTGTGTGAGTCGTGTCTTCCAGCCACCTCTGCCAGTAGCTCTGCAGAAGCTCAGAACTTACATTTTTGGTGTTGCTTTGATCCCTGGATTTTCATGCCCAAAGCAAGAATTCCAGCCAACAGAATGGTGGTGAATTGGGGTCTGTGCCCCCTTTTTTGTGGGGATGCCTTGTCATCAGGGTCATCAGCAACCCTCAACAGGGTCACATCGTTTTGTCCATGCCACTAAGGAAATCTGTTGCTGGAGGGGGACAAGGGCACTTTACCGGCAGCTTCTCCCTGTCTCTCAGGAGAGAGCCAGTACACAGCATGCACCCATCACGCAGGGGTTTGTGCCACTGGGCTCTTGTTCTAACTCTCCCCTTTTTGTTGCAGGCCCATCACCCTGACGGTGGCCAAGTGCTGGGACCCCAGCCCCCGGGGCTGCTTCTCGTTACCCAGGAGTAAGTGGATAGCTGACCCACCCTTAACGCTGGTGCCCAGCTCATGTGAGAGCCCTGCCTTAAGCACTTACTTGGTTGTTGTCTTGTTCCTCCCCTGTGTGTGTGACTCCATGTGGCACTGAATTGGGGTTTGATGGGGTTTCAGCTCTCCTGTTAGGAGACTGCTATGTCCTATTCCCAGGCCAAAATGCCCATAAGCCCAGCCCTCCTTCCCACATCACGCTGGGGACGCGTTTCACTGGGGCAGGGGGGTCACTTGCTCGGGGCGCCAGAGGAAAGAGAAACCCCCCCTTGAGCCATAGGGGGATCTCTCCCTCTGCACCTCTCCTGCTGACCCTCCCTCTCTTCTTTCTCTCCCAGTTGCTCCCCAGCGGATCTGGGCTGGGCCAGACTCTCCATGCTCCGATCCGGGTGAGTCCCGGCAGATGCTGGGGATGGAATGGGCTGCGCTGAGTCCCTGTCCCTCCCCAGAGGTTAATTTGATGAGGGGATAATTTCTTATAGCTACTGACTGACTCTTTCTTCACTACAGGTGAGCCCATCCGGCCCATTGACCCAGCAGCCTGGGTGTCTCACACGGCAGCGATGACTGGCACCTACCCAGCGTACGGTATGAGTCCATCCATGAGCACAATCACTTCCACCAGCTCCTCCATCACCAGCTCCATCCCAGAGACTGAACGTAAGTCCTTGTGCCTCCGTGCCTCACCCGCTGCACAGCTTCCTCGCCTTCACTGTGCTGTAAAGGGAGCAATACATCTACTTGGGGACAGCTGGGATGGGCAAGGTCTGCCCTGCCAGGGGACTCAAAGGGAGGCAGCTCTCACCAGGCAGACACTTGGATCGGTGGGAGCTCTGGCTGAGTGAATTAACACCACCTTTTTCAGCCTTATACGTAAGGAAAGTCAGAGAGCCTGGGTGCAAACCAGGAGCGGTGGCAGGTGTAGAGGAAAGGCTCAGAGCAGTCATGGGTTACTGGCTGAGAGTGCAGGGCCAGAGGGACTCAGCTTGTCCCTGGAGGAATTGCCCTCCCAGACAGAGATGGAGACAGCTGGGAGCAAAGAGCCTTGCAGTGGGACAGGGTCCTACAGGGCACTTTTGGTTGCTTTCTGAATGTTTTGGGTGATTCTAGTATAATGAGCCCTGAAGCAAGGGTCTAGAGAGCTCAGCTGGGGCAAAAAGCCAGGGGTTTGTTTTAAGTTTGTGAGGAGCAGAGAATTCCCTTGCTGGGCTGTGTGGGCTCAGCTGGCAGCTTTTGGATCTCAGCTGCTTGGGACTGGTTGGAAAGAAGGAGACTCTGGCCTGGGTTTTGCACAGGGTGAAATGGCTGACATGGGAAGGACAACATCGGAAGGCTGGAAGGGGGGTTACACAGCATGCGCCCCAAGGCTGTCTGTGATGTATCGTTCCCTGGCCCATTCCTCCTGTGTGTGATGATTCCATGTAGCCCTGTTGTCTTTTCTGTCCCCTCTCATCTCTGCCTCCCTCCCCTTCGTCCATACCACAGGCCTCGATGACTTTCACCTGTCCATCCACAGCGACATGGCCACCATTGTCAAAGCCATGGCCTCACCAGAGTCAGGCCTGGAGGTGCGTGACCGCATGTGGCTGAAGATCACCATCCCCAATGCCTTCATTGGTAAGAGACTATGCTGCCTGCAGCAGAGGCAGGGAGTGGGGAATGGGTGGCCTGTTCTCCAAGCAGATGCCCAAGGGAGCATCTCTGTCACCGTAAACTGTTGATCAGGCTAGGGTCACAAATTGAACCTTCAACTGTGCAGTCCCTTTTCATCTTTTGGCCCACTTTGTCTTAGCTCCAGTGTGACCCACTGCCTCAAGGGCCACTATCTTCCTCTCTGTTGCTGTATTTAACTCTGATGTTCGGTGGCAGGTTCAGACGTGGTGGATTGGCTCTATCACCATGTGGAGGGCTTTACAGACCGTCGTGAATCCCGCAAATACGCCAGCAACCTGCTGAAGGCTGGCTACATCCGACACACCGTGAACAAGATCACCTTCTCGGAGCAATGCTACTATATCTTTGGGGACCTCTGTGGAAGTAAGGCACTTGGCGTGGGTGGGAGGGAGAGGATGGAGGGGTCGAGGTCCTGCAGAGCTCTGCTAAGACTGTGAGGACGTAGCTACCACCGTTGCCATCAGGCTGGGCCCCTTGTTCTAAAGACCCTGTTAGAGAGTGAGGAAGAATATCCCAGCTCCCATGTCATGCTGCTGGGGCGGAAGTTGGAAGATGACATTATCACCCACTATGTGGTCTTTCCTCCTGGGCAGCCATAGCAGAGTCTTAGTCTTTACTGACTTTGTCTCCAGGCTCTGAACTTCCAGTGCTGGTGGTGCTCAGACAGGAGGGATGGGGGAAGTAATTAGCAGGGTGAGCTGCAGCTCTGATGTGATCCTTTCCCACCGAGATGGTCTCTGTGTTAGAGTGACAGCTCTGACTCGCACAGCCTGGCTATTGTCCGGCCAGGAAGCACAAATGGTTGTATCGACTCGCAAGGGAGAGTGCCAATTTCTTGCGTCTCCTTGTGTACCCCGTCCTTGTCCATCAGCAAGGATGGACGTGGAGTTACTTCATCACAAGTGGTTGTCTTTCTGCTTGGATTAACCCCTCTTCTCTACTTTCTTGCAGACATGGCTAATCTGTCTCTTCATGATCATGATGGCTCCAGCGGTGCCTCCGATCAAGACACTTTGGCTCCGCTCCCTCACCCAGGAGCTGCACCCTGGCCTATGGCTTTCCCGTATCAGTATCCGCCACCTCATCCATACAACCCCCACCCCGGCTTCCCTGACCCAGGCTACAGCTACGGAGGGGGCAGTGCAGGCAGTCAGCACAGTGAAGGTGAGTGAAAAGGACTAAAATGTGCCTGCAGGTGCACAGATGCCCCGTTCAGTACCGGGAAGGAGCAGAAAAAAGCTGCTTGGGCAAGGCCCTATGTGTGGGGGGAGCCAGGGCAAAAGCCTTCGGTTAGGCGCATCCCAGAGGGGTTGTGGGACTCAGAGTCGGAAGAAGACTGAGAGCATGGAATCTGCAGGTGGATGGTTGTGCTGCAGTGTGCTGTAGTCCTCTCTTAGCTAGAGGAGGATCCTTTCCTCCTGGCTCGTTTGAGCTGTCACCTGACCTTGTCTCGTGCGCTTTGCAGGGAGCCGGAGCAGCGGTTCCAATCGCAGCGGCAGTGAGAGAAGGAAGGAGAGAGAGAAGACCGGGGAGTCCAAGTCGGGTGGCAGTGGGAGCGAGTCGGACCACACCACGAGGAGCAGCATGCGGCGTGAGCGCGCGGCCAGCGAGCGCTCG